AATAGTCAGATTACGATATGTCCTATCACGGAACATTTCCATGATAACTTACAATCTAGCATAAGTAAGTAAATTACAATCACAATGATTCGAATTGTAAGTAGATGATTTGCATTCCCTATTATAACTATTAATTTCAGTATGTGTATAAGTGTCACTGTCATAAAAAGTCAGTGCGATATTAAAACACAGTATATCCAAATTAGAAGTTAACTAAATAAGGATAGTCTAATAGAATTATCCTAACATAGATATTTCTACTGTAATACAGTATATAACACTGTAACACGAACTAAAAAGGAATGAACAGGCATTTATATGTTAAGGTCAATCTTAACATATACACAACACGCGTAGCCTAGCATTATCGCTAAAATTTTAAAGTAGCTTCGCAGTGTACTTTATTTTTCGCAAAAATGTTTAATCTTCATGTCACAAACCAAATTCGTGATAAGGATAACGTAACATAAATCTCTAAATCTTTAAAAATCTACGGATTCAGTATCCTTACTCACAATAACTTAGACGCCTTTGATTCTACGTTAAACTCAACTAGACAATTGAGAACTACTTTATTCCACTATCTGAAGGGCTTATATACCCTTCTACAGCAGCTAACATTCATGAGTCATCTTATAAAAAATACTTAGGTGAGAACATCCTATAACTAATATTTCACAGTCGGACTACAACATGTCCATTCACAGAATCATTTCAGTGCACATTACAGCACAGCATTAATTTACTGTAACAGATTTATAATTAGAGTAATTCCTATTGTAAGTAACTAGTTGTAATATATTATCTCTATATTATATTCACCAAATTTAGATAGCTATTTCTTTACGGTAGTTCGTACCGTGATAGTTCACTAACTGAAAATAGAAATTTCCATATGTAATTTATTATGTTGTATATTAAATTGCAATAAATTTGAGTAATTTCAAGTGCTGGAATGTGATTTTTCTGGTATACACCTAGACATACCCCAAAATGCGCACTTGGTGATTCAATTATATCATATGTACCATTTTATTGGCTATGCAATCCATCGAATAACATGTACAGTTTTACTTATGATCAGCTGTCGTTTTATTGAATTATATAATACATAAAAAACTGTCATGCCGTAAGGTCATTTAGCAAAATGCCCAATTTCGCATCGGGCCTCGTTCAGGTCTCCTTAATCCTGTTGAGTCGGCCGTCTCGCTGTTTTAAGAAGATGTCGCGCGTTCCGTTCGCATATCCAACTCTGATTATAGCAGACCCGTTTATCTTCGGAGCATTAAAGAGTCGGCGATACTCGTTATATGTTTTTTTGTCAGCATCAATTACAATTAAATGTTTGGGCGAATCCATGTTCTCCAGAGCGGATTTGAAGCTTTTCCCTATGTATTGTTGGAGTACAGCATCTCCGGAAGATCGAGAATGATCTGCTTGACTGTGTTGTTCAGGGTTGCACCTCTTGAGCTTTGAAGGTGGTGAAGAAACTGAGATCGTTGAGATTCTTGTCGGACCCGAAGCTCGTGAAGATAGAGGCCAAGTTATACTTTCACGTACTCTCTCAGAAATGCTTTCCATCTGACAAATCGTTTTGAGGAGAGTCTTCAAAATATCAGGAGGTTAGAGGAGAGGTTCGAACTTAACTTTGAATTCTTTTCAGCAAGGACCCTCTGCTTCTCCGGGAAACTTCTCCGCTCTACAATGAGGGTAGAATTTGTCAATTTTACCAATAGTCTTCTTGGAGTTGCCTACGTGGTCTTTTCTGATGTTGTAGTTAAAGCCTTCGTTGAGCCAGGTGATTTGATGATTTTTTTGCTGAAGTTTCACTATCTTTTCCTGCAGATCTGAAAAGGTGAACTGCTTTTCTGTTTTTAGTTGATGAGAATAATTGGAATCGGCGTTTAGACGGTAATGCAATCAATGATACTGCACAACTATTTGTCATTGGCTTTAGAAACTGTTTAAATAGTAGTGGAGGTGTGTGGCAGTAAACTTCATGCATCATAAGCACAAACAGATGCTTTTGCTGATCAGCTTCTTAGAAAGGATGGCATTGATCCACATGAATTCAGTACAAGAACTAATTCGGTAGTCAAACTGGAAATTTGTATGAACAATATAGTAAAATCACGTCTAACTTTATTTCATACATCCATTTTTCAACACTTAAGAAATACTTTTGATAATAGACTCGCTAAAAATTTTCATCAGGATTCTGTGGACGGCTAAAATTTTCTTTTAATGTATTGCTTCGTATAGAATCGAAAATTTACTAGCTTAATTAATCGTATCATTTCATAGTAGTTAGCTGCAATTGTTCAACGTCTTAGGATAGATTGAAAACCATTCGAAAGTATGGAAAGTTTCTTAAAGATTCATGGGAAAGTACTTTTGGTGACTTCATCAAACTATAGTAGTAATGTATTTTGAAAGTGTAATACTTGAGTAATATTTATTAAAGCGTTACTACATGTGATGTAGAATTGTTTCTTGAACGTCACAAAGTAGTTGCAGATTATGGATAGCAAAATAAATTAAGTTAAAAATCCCTTTGTTACAATACGATAGCTTTCTAGTTCAAACAAATCCAATGCCAAAATAAATGAAGAGATGAGTACAGTTTGCGGTTTCTTAGATCTAAAGTATAATAAACAAATATTGCTAACTGTAATAAAAATCAGGTACCTAAGTTTATAGAAATAGATTGTGATAAATTTTTGTTCAAAGTATTACAAACGAATTAGTATTTCTTATTAAATTTCCTTTCATTGCATAAACTTGGTTTATCTAACAGTATTCATTCGGATATAAGTCAAGTTATTCTTGATTTTTGTAATATATCCTTTGAACAATTTACAATTGTGTGAGTTGATTTTACTTAGATCAGAATTGTAAGCCTGTGATACATACCGATCACGAAATTCTAAATTTAAGAAAAATAAGGGCTTTATTGAATCTTATACAAAGATTAACTACACACAGCTCTACTCTAGCCGAATACTACTATAAAGACTTCTAGAACGAACTAACAGAATAATCTAAAGTTGCATGCTTTTATACTTTACGTAGCATTCGTAGCTACAACCCGCATAGCAACCTTTTACCTTATTTTACACATAGTTAAATTATTCTTAGTAAGACTATTCTACTGCGGACCATCATTAATCCGATATGGATACGACTACAGTACTTACGTAGACATTATTCACACCAGCCAAAGTACAATGAATTAACCATATCCTAATATATGATTTACAGTTCTATTTTTACCTATAGCCTTATTATTAAATTAACTCAACACCTTACTGTATATATAGTCATCTGTACTCTAACATAGAGTTTCTACCTCTACAGTCTATAGTTATAGCTACCAAATATCTCTACCATACTGTACATTATACTAAACATGGCTAACAGTCTACAATCACAATACTAGTTACATTACAGTACCGTTACAGTCCTATAGTATTAAATCATTAATCTCTTTCTTAATCTGTCTTTTCGTTAAAAGCTGGGGTTTGGAAATTTACTATTGCTGCACTGTAAAGTTAACATAAGAATCTAGTTCTTGAGAAATTAAGTATATTTAATATTAACTAATTTATTAGAGTTTTACTATAGATTATGCTCTAGTATAAATATCTTACACTGTAATCACGAATAATAAAATGTAATATCGTGGCTAAAATATAGGTAATGTTAGGTCCGTTTAATTAACTAATTACTTCTAATTTTCATAGCTTTTGAGCAGTGTCCTACGATTTCAATACAGAAGACATTTTAGTACCATAAAGATGCACAATTTCAAGTGTCTTTATAAACCATAAATCATTACAAGTTTAATAGTTCTGATGAAAGTAGTAATTTAATAAGTAATGAAACAAATTCATTTCTTTGAATCGAAAGTTGTATATTCTAGTATTGTACATTGCCCGTTACTTATAGAATGTTTAGATTATTATCTAGATTATGTACAGTATATAGTCTGCTAAACAAGTGATTACTGAAAAAAATTTATGAGATTAATAGAATTATTCTCATATAAATAGCATTATTGCAGCTTTGTTAAACGGATGGCATTAATCCATATCAATTCAGCACAGGCTCTAATTTGTTAGTCTAATCAGTAATCCTTCTAAATAATATGATAAAATCAAATCTGCCTTCTCTTCATCCGTGGATTTCAAACACTTCCAATAATAATTTTGATTACAAAATGTGATAAACTTTTTCATCACGATTCTGTAGATGGCTATACTGCAAAATTTATTTAACCGTGTTATTTTATAGTAGTAAACCAAAACAGTTAAAGAAGGTAGAACAGATTGCAAGCGACGTGAAAGTATTAAAATGCCTATGATAAAATCCTGTAGTAAAGGACTAAAAGTAGAGTCCTTTATAGCTTTTATTATGTAACTAGTATTATTTTACTATACAAAATACCTAGAAAGTGATAGTATCTTTAAGTTTTACCCTGCCAAATCATCATGTCGCCATCTTTTCTTCTTCATTATTTTACAATGTTGTCACAACCACGTTTTCTGTGACACAGGATCTCCTCTACTTATCGTGTAAAACTTAGCTAAGTACAGTACAATCCCGACACTGAACAAGTGCTACTGGAACTACGCTTCCTATTAGAACACTAACTTCTCGGGTGTGGGACTACACTTCTTTGACCGTCACTAGGTTACTCGATTACACAAGTAGCTAAGTCTAGGCTTTTGAACAGATAACTATCGCTACAGTTTATTCTTTTCTATGCCTTTCTCCTCGTCCACATTACATCACAGTTAGCCTTTATATACTTTCTAAGATATTTACTATTTACATTAATCTCACGTAGGAGATCTCACAACCATAACCTACTATCCAGTAATAATCTTACAACACGACTACAAATCGTGTCAGCATAAACAACTCTCTAACACAAAGATTGCACAGCATCAATATTTATATTTCCCTAGTCTATCCTCCTATTCGAATACATACAAAATAACTAAGGACAGTTGATCATCAAAACACCTTACTAACAAACACCATAACACATCACTTTCCATCAATAACAAACACCGTAACACTTCTAACTCATCACGGCAAAAAGGTACCGTGACAAATGTATTTTATACATTACTATAGAAGTATCGCTAGAGCAATTGCCTAATCTAAAGAAAGGGCGTTTGATCGTCTATTCAAATTATAAATAAATTTGACTTGGTAACAAAACCCTATCCTTTGAGAAAGGGGATTTATGGTATGATAGTAAAGTACTGTAAGGTAGTCTATAATCGTACAGTTACCGTACAACCTGACGCTAAAACATCAACTGTCAATACTCAGCGATACTAATGTCAGAAAAGTAGTCGTAATAGTCATATAAAATTTTTTGATAAGCGATTACTGTGATCTTCATAAAATCCGGATTTTTGGGATTCAGATTCCGGAACCGGTCGGATTTATATCCGATATAATTTTCCTGTATTAATTTATGTCCGATATAATTTTTCTGTTTTAATTTTTGGATTTTTGTTTATGGAAAATATCGTAAGAGTTGATTTTTGAAATTTGAACATTTTGCTATGAATTTGAAACTTTAGAATTTTATGACGTGGCATGAAAATCACATTAGGAAAGTTTAATGAGGAAAATAGAAAATGAGATGGAAATTGGCAGAGGTTGTGTTCATTGTTAAGTAGTTAGACTGTTATTTTATGACTAAATCTTGATGTTTAAAGGTTAATTTTTAGACTTTTATAGTGTATTAATGATAGAAATTATGTTAGAAGTGAAGTTTGATGTATTTTATAGTTAACTTGTTGGTTTTATAGTGTTTTGTAAGGGAATCATAGGGTAAATTGTGTATGAACTTTGAATGATTTTTGTTTTCTTAAATGGTGCAAAGTAGTTTTCTAAAATGGATCTTAAGAGCGATTGGTTAGTAAATGTTTAGTTCTAAATACACCTGACGGCTCTGCGAAGCCTATAAATGATAGTGCAATTAGAAAATTTAAGAGGGGAGAGTAGAAGAAGATTGTTTTGAAGAACTTGTTGAATTTAAAAGGCCTTCGGGGTCGAATTGTCGTAAGTTAAAACGTTCTTCTTTATGAATGGTTGTTTGGTTGCTGACAGTTTCTAAGTCTGTCACTTATTTTATTAATACTTAAAGTTAAGTATTTGTAAGGTTGTTCGGTTTATACTTCTCTCCATTTTCGTTTTGTAATAAATTGTTGTTCGATTATTTCCCCAAATTTTATTTGGTGTCAAAGTTTCGTTAAGTCGACCGGAGTGCAACGAAAGTAGAATCAAAGTTTGTTAAAATTTTGTAGCTTGATCTCTACACTTTTCATTTCATTACAATCCGATCATGAAAATTCAAAAGTTTTATAAAATTAGAACTTTATTAAATCTAATGCAAAGACTAGCTACACACAGCTCTACTCTAGCTAGATATAACTACTAAAAGACTTCTGAAAAGAACAATCAGATAATCTAACGTCGCCGGCTTTTATACTCTCCGTAGCCTTCGCAGCTATAATCAGTATAGCAGCATTCTATCATATTTTACACATATTCAACTTATTATTAGTTACAATATT